TCATGATGAATAAGTCTCTAGAATTAGCGGGGTTTGTGGAAACACAGACCCAACAGTGATGACACGCTCGCCATTTATTTAAGATTTAAAATGACATTAAAAGATTGTATGACTTAATTTTCTTCTTGTTGTGTTTCCAGGTGAACCTGGACGACCTTTTCTCTCCGCTTCAGTTCCGATCAGTCCGTCGGTCGGGTCTCACGCTGCTGCGAGCTGACGACGAGCCAGAGACTGCCCAACAACAGCATCCGCCGCGCATCGCACAGCTGCGGCCAATGGAAATCAGCGCTTTCCGCGTACAAATGGACTGAAATGCTGACGCTGCTGCAGCCACTGAGCAGAGATTGGTACTCATGGTTCTCACAATCAGAGAGCAGACAAACAGGGACTGAAAAAAGTCACATTTAAGGTGAAAAGAAGCAGAAAATTAAAAGATTTAACAGAGAATTTTTTTTTAAATTTTTTTTTTTTATCTCAGATGATTGTCAGACTCTGAGAGAAAATCCTTCAGGGACCAAAACAAAACAGGAAACAAATAGTAAGAAAGGATTCTTTCAAAATAAAAGCCATGATGTTTTCTAATTTTAGTCCAATCAAAGGTCACATTATTTATTCAAATGAAGAAACACTGAAACTGTGACCGGTTGGTTTGTCCGTTCGGTGTCCAATGAGCGTGTGCGAGAGTGTTTCTATGGTGATGGTCTGTTACTGCTGTTTTACCTGTGAGAGTGGAAGTGTGTGTAATTTTGTCTCATTGCTCTGCTTCTAAATGCACATATTGATTTTTTTTTTTTTTTTAATGATTTAGTTTGTTGTCGCTGTGAAAAGAGTAGTTGCAGGGAATTCTGGGAAAGCTTTTTTTAATGTAGAGATTGTCTTGGGTGAAAGAAAAAAACAAACGATTTGTTAAAATGCTTTTACTGCTGGATAAATTTGTGTTAATATAAATAAAAAAAGTTTTTTTATATTTCTGAATAATTTTTTACAATAAGGTTCAGAGTTCCCTGTTTAAGGACTCAGTGATGCTTTGTGTTTGAAGGCTTCAGTCTGGTCACACGGGTTCATTTTTAAGGTGGTAATTGTAATTAAATATCTTTAAAAATAGTTTCAAACCTTCAAAATTAAAAATAACAAAATTCAGGGTGGAAACAAAAAGTTGCATTTTCTTAAACGACTCGTTCCTTTTTTCTGCTTATCTCTTCCTGTGCCCGCCTCTCTGGTTTGAGGGGCCACAAATACAGATACACAAGAACTGAACTAAAAACAGGTCTAATGGAGCGATGAGTCCAAATTTGAAAGTTTTGGTTCAAATTATTGTCAGCATGTACAAGAGAAGTCCAACAGTGAGTGTCTAGCCCTCTGTAAAACACAGTGGTGGCTCAGTCATGGTTTGTGTCTGCGTTTGAGCCCGTGGTGGGAGATCTTTGGTAAAATTGGTGGATTAATGAACACAGATTTTGATTCACCATGTTAAACCATCTGGAAAGAATCTGATTGGCAGACGCTTCATGTTTCAGTGTCACAGCGACCCTAAAACACACCGACAGTGCAGTAAAAGCAAATCTGAACAGAAAAAACACACAGTGGAACACAATCGGTCAAGAATCGGCCTCCCAGAGCTGCTTCATTAAACACATTTGGCAGTTTATCTGGATACAGATTAAGACCAGTTAATATTAGTCTGAAAATCTGGGAAAAAACGGCTCAAAAACTAAGTATGAAAATAACAGGTTGGCTATGGTTTATTTATTTATATATGGCAGATCTGTGTGAGCTCTTTAGATAACTGTAAATTGTAAGCTTGGATCTTCTTAACTTGACTTAAAATAATAATATTTCTTCATTACATAACAACTAAAAATCAGAAAAAAGGTACAAACAAGGAAGACAACATGAAACATTAGAAAGCAATTTCAGGTTAATCCACCCCCATACATGCCAACCCTCCCGATTTTTTCAGGAGAATCCTGAATTTCAGTGTCCCTTCCGAAAATCTCCCAGAGTCACCATTCTCCCGAATTTCTCCTGATTTTCCACCCGGACAGCAAAATTGAAAAACCATGTCTCAGATTAGCCCAGCCACTTCCAGTTTCCAACAATGGCTACTACTACTGCAGCTACTTAGTTTTAATATTACTCTTATTACTCTTTCTGGGTCGCAAAATAAACTTTTAACATATTTTCGTGCAAGAATGTAGCTGTGTAAACTTCAAATATAATCGGTTTATCAAGACCACATATTTTCAAAAGTGCTCTGACGGCGAGAACAGCGGACTCCCGGCACAATGTTTTCAACCCCCCCGCGCGGTCTTTCTCGCTACTCAGGTTAAACATGATATATAACCCACATAGCAAAATTGGTATGGCCCGGATCTGGCCCACACAATGTTGCTTACACATGGCCCACATACCGCAAAGAATGATGGCCCTTTGGTGGTTCAGATCTGGTTTGCCAGAGTTGGCCCACACATGGGCCAGCACAAGGCCAGTTGCAGACACACTGGTGGTCCTGTGCTGAGCCACGTGTGGATTACCTGGCAAACCTGATCTGGGCCACCAAAGGGCTGTCATTCTTTGCGGTATGTGGGCCATGTCTAAGTTGTGTGCAGCCATGGGCCAGTTGCAAACACACTGCTGGCCCTGTGCTGGCTCAGAACAGTTTCAGCTCTGGCCCCAGATGTCAGCCTAATGTGTACCTTCATCAAACAATGTAATAAAAATTTGCTGGAACATGATAGTGCAAAAGAAACATGATGAAACTCTGTTCAGACAGTGAATAGACTGATTCTTATATAGCACTTTTCTACTCTCCCGGATTACTCAAAGTGCTCTCTACAACATGCTATGTTCACCCACTGTCTTTAAACTGAGTGCCTCCTAATACACGTTCACACTTTTGACATGCAGACTGGAGGAGCCAGGGATTGAATCACTAACCTTCTGTTCAATAGGTGACCTGCTCTACCTCCTGAGCTACAGCCACCCAGTGGTAAACATCAGTAAACCCTCACTAGGTTTTGGATAAAGTGTACACTCACAAACCTGTCAAACCTGCATTTGAAACGTTGGCCACCATAGCAGTATAGTATTGCAACATGGCATTTGGGTCTTCTAACTAAAATAGGAAAATAGGAACATAAATAGTGCCATCATTGCCAGACCTGGCCCACATCTGGTTGACATACACCCTGCCATGACAGGCATCAGGCAACAGGTCTGGCCCGGATCCGACATCAAGTGATGTTTTCTATGAGCCTGGGCCACATAAACCAAAAACCAATCGAGCCAGATATGGCATGCCATCACATAAACAGTGCTATCATTGCCAGGCCTGGCTCATATCTGCATGACATGCCACTTACCATGCCAGAAGTCAGCCAGCAGTGCCAGCTGAATAAACGTCAAACAGAAAACTGATTAAACAAAAGTGTGAGATGGTCGAGAATTTACTCCAATGCTGTGTTATATATTAGCGAGAGAGGAGCAGATGGCTGAGTTTATTAAACTGCACCGAGACAGCTGATGACGAAAATCTGGCTAGACCGTCCCATTTCACAGCCTCACACTTCCGCCCTTCTCGGTCTTCAAAGGACCTGGCCCATGTAGACTGCAAAGGCCCGGTCCTCCGATGGATACAGCCTATGAATTGGGACAAAGCTAGGATTTAATGACTTGACTATCATAAGACTCCTTACTGATTAATTATTTGAATAAATAAATCTCTGATTTGATATATTTCAGTTGGTGTTTACTGAAAATATTGCTTCATGTTTATGAGAGCAAGGAATAATTTTGGGAGTTATGGTGACTTTTACAAAAAGGCAAGTGGAAACATAAAAGCATCTTCCTCCACTGCTTAACAACAAAGACTGGATCACATTAAAATTTTTAAATGTAATAAATGAAATCTAATCAATTGCTATACAATATTTAGATTTAACATTAAATGTCATATTTAGATTTAACAGTTCACACTGTTAAGACTTTTAAATGTAGCAGAATTAATATTTTGATCAGTCTCACTTTGCTATGCTTTATGGCTGATAAATAGAAGCTGCCATCTGAACATCTCTCTCTCTCTTTTGCTCTCCTGTTGCTGACTCTGCATCCGGGTTTCTGCTCACCTGACTCTCATACCTGTCGCAGGTAGGAGTCTTGTTTATGCCCCGTCCCCTCGGCCTGATCAGGTTGTTCCTGATTTGTATTTATGTTGGATTCTTACTTTCCTGGAGGCTGTCCCTCTGAGGTTTGTTGGTATGTCATTTATTACTTTGTGCTGAAAGCTGAATTCTTTCCCTCAGGTGTAAACAGGTGTTCTGATTGTAGGCTGTAGCTGGGGAAGTCTGGCACTGGCTGCTTCTTCCTACGACCAAGCGACGCTGCTTCATCAATGAGAAACTTTAACTTGGATTTATTTATGTTATCATCGCTCCCAGGTAGGCTAAATGCGCTGTGTGCGGGGTGGTAGCCGCTTCGTACCTTAAACACACGTTTAAGGTACGAAGAGGCTGTTGTCATGCCTACGTGCTACTTCTCTCTGCGCCATCCACACAGAGGGATTCCGACGCCTTTTCTTTCTGAGCGATCCTTTTCCCACTGAGAAACTGGAGCGTCAACATCACATAGCGCTGCTTCAGCAGCTTCCAGCTGCTCTCTGTGCGACGTTCACGAGCCACACGCTGATGTTCCTTGTGGGCTATGTCAGCGTTATGTATATCGCTATTCCTGGTGCCTTTAGGTGCAAATTCAGCAAACCATTCTCCCGAAGACATATGGTTGTTTAAAAGGCTGCTTTGGTTCATTTTCCTTAGTTGGAATAAACATATCTGTAATCACTTTGATGTAGCTACTTAAAACAGCTCAAAGCACATCTGTTTAGACAGGCATTTAGGTAATATTGATGTGTAGTAAACTGTTTTATTGGATATGCTATTATTCCCATGTGAAGCACTTTGAAATAACTTCCTGTTTTAAAAAGTGCTACATAAATACATTTTACTTACTTACTTACTAGTGTTTTATGTGAGTTAGTGCTAAAATCATAGCACTGAACATGCAGTATAATGTTTCTCCAGACCCTTCCACGTCTGTTACATGTGAACCTGTTCTCATCTGTAAAATTCTGGAATTATGTGGCAAATGCCAACCAGGCTCCACGGTGCTGGAGTGTGAGTTTAATGGATGTTCAGCCTCAGGCCGCCCTCATGAAGTCTGGTTGTGATTGTTTGGTCAGAGGTCATCATCAGTTTTGCTCCCTTTAAAAGGTGTTTGCTGTTGCGTTTAATAACTTCTAACAATTCTCTATAGAAGTCGATATTCCTTAACAAGCTGGTTTTGTTTTGAAAGTGTAAGACTCACCTGAGAGGTGTTATATGTGTTGAGACGAGACGCGTAAGTGACTGAATAAAAATATTGGTGGCGGCCAGTTGTACACCTCAGCCTCCTAGGAGATGCACCTATGGTATCAATTAAAAAAGCATATATAGCCGTATTCTCAAATGATTGCATTTACAAGTTTAAAAAAAATTGACCTCTGACCTTCAACCTTGAGGACAAGGTTACTTACATTCAAACTCTGAGATTTTTTAATAGTCACACCTATGGTATCAATTTGAAAAAGCTACATCGCTTCATCCTCGAGTTATCGCATTCACACACTCGGGTGTCAATGTTTCCCACCTGGCAGGGTTGTGATAACACTCCATCAAAGGCTTCAGCTTTCTGAAGACTCAGTGTTCCTCAGGCACAGCTTCTACAGCCAAACAGGTAAGAATCAGCACACAATATCAAACTAACAGCTGACAGCAGGTTGGAGACAAAGGGCTGGTTGGCAGACAGTACATAAACTGTGGAACTGAAACCAAATGTTACCCAAAAGGTAAATCTGTGTTTCTCTGCAGGAGTTTGGCAGTAAATCATATGGCCAACACTCATAAACATCAGTTTGAGAACTGATACTGACGCTGTTATTGTGATACCTGTGGGTGTGAATGATTTTCTGTTTCTGTTTTACAACAAAGGGAGGGAGAGGAGTCTTCCAGTACCGATGTTTTTTGTTTCATAGAGATGTTATAAAGTGGGTGATCAGGCTTGTTCAGGGTGGCTTCAAAGGTCTGTAGTGTGCATCTTTCCATCTCCACTTCACCTTAGTTATTAGGACAACAGGATCATTAAAAAAGATGAAGTTTCTGAGCAGTTATGAATGTGATTCTTGGTCTAATGGTGAAGAAATTAATGTCTTTTACAGTGTTAGTCAGTAGTTGGTTCATCCACTGCCTTTTCCCTTTTCTGTTGTGTCATTGCAGCTGCAACCTTAAGTCTAGTTTCAAAACATATTTATATTGTCTGGAATGTTTCCCTTTGCAAAACTCTATTAAAAGTTGCAGTACTGCCTCAGGGTTGTACATCTCCACCAACTGGTTCAACTGCAGTTTACATCCGTCTGTCAGACTGCCTGCAATAAGTACAGTAACGAGTCTGCAGGAATTTAACAGGTGGGTCCCAAAGATTATAGTATCCATTCGGTTTTCAGGTCAAATATATATTATAGTCACAGTTTAACTTGGAGCTGGACATTAAGCTGGACATACAGCTTAATGTTTGCATCAGCTTAATGATTGTGACAGCAAAGAAAGTGATGCTAAAAGTTTCTGGGTGTTGGCTCAGGAATGTTGAGTTGAATGCAGCTTCTAGAGGTTTGCCCTACTTTCATAATCACAAACTGTCATTTTCAGTGTTGATGTATAACCGAAGAATGCTCTTTGGTGTTGTCATTACATCTTAAACTATTGCCACTGGGTTGTTGGGTTTCTCAGAGTAATGTTGTAGACCAGCGGTCCCCAACCCCCGGGCCTCGGACCGGTACCGGTCCGTGAGTCGTTTGGTACCGGGCCGCGAGAGTAAAGGCTCCGGTGTGAAATGTATGGTTTTCAGGGTTTTTAATCGGTTGTCAGCGTTATTATGTTATCGTTTTTATCATTAACTCGGTTTTCCTGGGTCTTTTCACGTGTGTTATGAATAAATCTTCTTTTTTTCGGTACCGGTACTAGTTTTATTTTTTTGTATTCATCCGCGACACCTTAAAGGCCGGTCCGTGAAAATATTGTCGGGCATAAACTGGTCCGTGGCGCAAAAAAGGTTGGAGACCGCTGTTGTAGACTCTTTACCAGTGTTGAGTGTAACCCATTACCTCACCTGCATCAACCCTTATCCACAGTTAACCTGTCAGACGTGAAGCTGTTCACCAGACTGGGCAGAGAAAAACTTGTCAGTACATCCAGTTTCGAGGAAACTGCAGAAAATGGCCTTGGCTCCAAAAACAGCAGAAGGCACAGACATGCAATGCTTATCTATAGTAATGGAAAAACTTATTAAAGATGCAGATTCATTCTTCCAACAATTTAAAAGTCATCAATCAAGGATGAGAGAGATTGTAGAAAAGCTTAAGGGGATTTCTGAAGAAGTACATTCAACCCCTGAAGAAGATGAAAAGTTAAGAAATTGTATCATCCAATCAGCTAACAAGACTCAGAGCCTGGTTGATGAGTGTGCTGTAATGAAGACTGACCTCAGAGAGGTAAATAAAAGCAGAGTTTCCCATCACACAGTAATCACTAGTAATCTCTAATCACAGTGTAATCACACTGTGTTCACATTTTTTTAATTGATGAGTTCCATCAAGAGGAAGACCAAAATGTTGGACACTTAAGAAACAAAAGACACACTACAAGTAACACAACAAGAGAAATATGACAAAGATGTAAAACTGAACACTAGATTCTGTGAATACAGACAACATGATGACTGACAGAGGGAAAACTCACAGACCAAACCTCCTCTAGACTCTTTTCATTAAGGAAACTTAATTTTCTTCCTGTGATAATTCACAAGGTGAAGCGCTGCGTTGCTTGTCCTGCTTCCTTGCATCTCTTCTCTCTCTACCTTACAGCCTCACTGGGAAAATCTAAGATGTGTGGAAGATACATAAATTAAATTCTGTGCTATATCAAAGTAATGACAACAGCAACATTAACATTTACACAGACATCTATGAGGCTGACATGTTTTATAAAATGATCACCATAAGTCTTAATATTTCTGCTTCTAAATAAGCTAGAAAATTAATTTTAACTAGTAAATCTACACATTTAAAGGCCAAGTAATTCAGTTTTGCCAAATAAAATTAACCTAAAGAGACTATGATGCACTGACTGTACAGCACAATGTGAAAGAGAAGATGAGAGTATGATTAAGAAACCTCAGTCCATGTGTCATAATCATAATGTGCGTGCATCACTGCTAGAAAACTGTCATCATTTTGCACTAGAGCAAAATATTAATAACAACTATTTTCACGCCCCATCTCAACAAAACAATAAGAGAGGTGTAACTTTATTTAGATAATAACTCATTCACATTGAATTCTTTAGTAGTTTTTCTTGTAAAAATAAAAGAAAAACTTTAATTTTCGAACAACTGTTTTCGTCACTATACTGCTACATCAGTCTTCCCTTTTCTTTTTTTTAAAAACCAGTGACAAATTAAATAGACTGGGTCCTTTATCAGAAATGCAACAATAAAGTTCAGTCTTATAAAAAAGAGCAAATCCAGAAACTTGTGAAGAAAGAAAAATTGGAAAAATTGTTTAGTGAGAGTTTAAAACGTTTCACTCTTAGTGGCTGCAGTGAGCCTGTTTTTCACTGCGCAGCTTTTCAAAATGTTTTTGAGGCTTAATACTGCTGCTCTCAAGTCATGTTCAATATTCAGCCTCAGTCACTGATTTTGTTTGCTACAAGGAAGATTTTTGTCTCTGCCTTTAAACGGAAGATTTAAATCATATAGCTTTCCAAATATATCGCTAAGATAGGTGTAACGCTAAGTTATTTAAGGACTAGTTTATGTCAATGGATGAGTTTACTGACTGACGCGCAGAAGAAATAGTTCTTTATGGAGCCTAGATGGTGTGAATGATGAGACCAAAGACTGCAATTGTTATATTAAAGTCTGTATTTCAGGTGTTAGCATAAGCACATAATAATCTTTCATTGCAGGTGCAACTGTAATCATGTTATACACATATTGCATAATTAAAGGGTTGAAGCTCGGTTAAGTTAATTAATGGTTTGAAGCTACGGGCAGGGCTATTGAGCAGGTGGCACTGAACCAGAATTTGTTTGTAAAAATGCTGCAACTTCAGTGGTGTGGAACTGGTTTAGCTTTCGTCCGTCAGATACACAACAAAGCACTATTTTTGGTAGCGCATGCTAGCGGGCCGTCGTTATTACCGTGTTGTTTGGAAAATACGGCACACTTAAAATCAATCCTTTGATTTTTCTGAAAATCGACAGTGCCCCTTATAATCCCGTGTGCCTTATGTATGAATTCTGGTTGTGTTTACTGACCTCGAAACGATTTTATGTCGTACACGGCGCTCGAAAATCTGTCAAATGTTTTAGTACGACTTTGCTAAGCTACGAAGCCGCACCGCTTGATGGATTGTCGGAGCATTACGGCTATCGTAGGCAGGAGCCTCGCGGAGTGATACGTACTGTGCTTCAACATAATATTACCGTATTGTGTGTGTATAACCTCTTTTTAAGTTTTGTGGATATTATACATGGTTATGCTGAGGATATGTCGGCCATTTCCACTGGAAATGCCTTTTGGTTAAACTGTCAGCAAGGAATTTGCACTGTTACATTTTTATATAACTTTAATGCACATAAAAAACAGCTGCTTGTTTAAGTGAAAATACATTGATGGGTTTTTTTGCACTAATTGGGTTGTAAATATTATATTCACATGTTATCGATTACGCAATGATGTTGTTTATATATTGCTCTCTTTTTTCTTGTTTTCTCTTTTTTCTTTCTCAACAGGTGATCCAGGTGATTAATATATTTGCTGTGTATTATTTGTTTTGGTTTGGTTTTGTTTTTTGCCCTTTTTATGCACTTCCTCTTCCATCAGGTTTCCTTCATTTCCTCTCTTCTCCTCGTCTTGCTCTGTATTTCTTTCTCCTCTCCCTCCCGGACCTCTGGTATGGCCTCTCTTTGCTCCCTTCCCGGGGCATCAGGCCTACTCGCCCCGCAAAGGGCACAGGCCACCCCCCAACAGACTGGCCACCCCAGGTGCCACCCCAAAGGCAAAACAATAAAATTCAATCAAATATCAAATGTACGATTATGTTTTCACGGTGAAGCTCAGATATCCGAGTGTAAGTGAATGCAGCATCGGCTTCTGCGCTATGTGCATCACGTTAGCAAAGGTAGGAGAGCCAAGCACGAAAGACGGCACTGCAGGAAACAATTTTTCGGTGAAAGAAAATGAGGACAGAATAAATGTCCCGGTAAGTAATATTAAGTTTGTTGAGTTTAGTAAACTTCGGTGAAATTAGAATACCAAGGAAAAAATAACACTTAAAGAATTATTGCAGCCGTGGAATATTTCAGACAGTATGCTACTGAGGGCAGCTAACATAAGAGTTATGAGTTATATAATCTAAGTCGTAACATTGCTGTATGGAGCTGCAGATTTGGTTGCAGGTTAACATAGCTGGACTGGCCATCGGGCATACCGGGCATATGCCCGGTGACTTATTTTTTTTTGTAATGGCATGAACAATGAGAGGTGGTGGATTGGCCAGATGCATGGCATCGATGTGTAAAAATAACTCAGTTGTTTGGTGGTGGCTATGGCGGGGCTTCCACAGAGGCCAGCAGGTGGATGAGGGAAGGGGAGGCAGGAGGAGAGCCCCGAGGCAGCCACCAGTCCGAGTGTCAGGTGAACTGAACTTCAGGTAAGAAGTTATGACCTGCAGTCTATCTGGGTCAGATATAAACCAAGTTTAGGTGGAGTTTATTTTCGTTGTGCTGACTTTTTACCGTCAGTTGCAATAACTCATACTGCGTTCTAGCCAGCTTGACGGAGTTTTTATACAGCTGGGTGGGTGCTATGATGTTACTGATAGTGAACTTTATTTTATTCATAAGGTTAGTTAGTAGAGTTGCCAACGGCTCCTTAAAAAAATGGAATGGTCCCTCATTCAGAGAAAATATTACACGTTTCGTATTGAGCTGAGAAGAGACGCAGTTTGTCCCGGACTTTCGCTATAATGAAAAAAAGACACAAAGCTGGAGTTATTCTGTCGTTACGCTGCACAGCTGCCTCTTCTTCTCTCATTCTCTCCCCCCCTCTCCTGTTGCTACTTCAATCATGAAACTGATCAATGATCAGCTGATCGTCTCTCTTGTTTGTTTATCGCCCACTTTGCGCCAGAAAGAGGAAACCAGCGGATGTCGCGCTAAACAACAGCAGCACGTTTAAGCTTGATCAGCTGTTGTTAGAATTTATTTAATATTAATTTCTAGTATCAGCTGATGTTTGCTGGAGCCACAGCTGTAAAGCTGCTGGTCATGATATGGTTTGGTTATGTGGTGAGAGGGAAACATGAAGATGAAACCAGGAGATGTCCTTACTGAATCATCAGAGCTGAACAGGTGATGGAGAAACAGGTTTACCTTTTAGGTGACATGAATGAGTTGAAGGGAAGTTATGAACTGTTTCTGAGAGACAAATAACACCAGGATCCTTTTTTATGTAGCTGACAGCTGGTAACTGTGCAGGGGCGGTCTAGGAAAGTTTTGCCAGGGGGCCAGGTAGGGCATTAACAGGGAAAGGGGGGCACAAAGAAATACTTTTCTTTCTTATTCTCATTTAAAATATCTAGCTTTTATTAAATAATTATCTAAATCTTACAACCAAAGTTTTTATCTGACGTAAAATGTATAGAAATCATACATATACCAACAAGACTGTACATCACTGTCACAACAGCATTTGTTTTCATTCAAAGTCTTTATGGCTTTAATACCTGGTGGGCCGGTCTCTAGTCAAAATGCCCGATTTTCTGTCCCAGTCCAGCCCTGCAGGTTAATACTGGCAGTGTCACCATGCCAGCTGACTGTATTTCATCATCAGCCAGTGTTGTTCTTTATCAATATTACCAAAGTTTACCATAAGGCAGCATAGAAAGTATTTACTTGCTTTCAGGTTTTATTCAAATGTTAGTCTTTTCAGTTGTTTCCCCACTTTTTTCCTGTTTCAAAATCAAACACCAGTTTGTGAGAAGATTATCTTCTTTTTTTAACAGGCAGATAAAGTTTTACATTGGAATTGGCTAATTTGTCAATTGTTTGTTACAAATGTTCGTATTTTAATATTCAAAAATGTCAGTAAAAATACTATGCAAATATTGCTGTCCTTGAATGCTGAGTAAACACTGACAAAGCACTGATTGTATCTCTTGTACTTTATCAACGCAGTATCTAAAAACTTTGCACCGTAGTGGTTAAAATCTCATTCTAATAAGAGTTAAAAGCGCATTCGGTTATTAGGTTTATAGGGTTATTGAATTATGGTTAACGGTTGGTAGAATTTTTTTAAACATTATCTGCCAATTACATCTGCCACCCTTCTCCAAATCTGTGCCCCTACCTGGCCCCCCCAACAAAAATTTTCTAGACACGCCACTGGTAGGGGCTCAGAATTTTGCACAACAGTGGACTCATGAACAAT